CATCACCATAGGCTCTTGCTCATATGTTATTTCTTTAAATTCTTCTGTATCTGCCAATTCCTTTCTATATAATGACTCAGTATATTCCTTCCATCTTCCATAACACTTCATTTACTGATGTGGACATAGATTAATTAAGCAGCATTTGTCCAGACAGAGCAAGGGAATACTGCTTGATTTAAAATCAGAAAAGGTGTTCATCAGGGTTGTAGCGTTTCTCTGTACCCATTCTGTATGCTGAACAAGTAATTCGAGAAGCTGAAGTAGAAATATGAAAAAGTAGAATCAGGATTGGAGAACATTCCTCAACAACCTGTTATGTAGATAGCACAGCCTTCCTTGCAGAAACTGAAGAAGAAACACTGCAGAAGATCCAATACCATAGCCTTCAATAGAGGCTACATCTCAGCATCCTCACCACTGGACCAATAGGCAGCATCATGTCAAGGGCTTAATTTTATTTGATTCTCCGGTCAGTACGCATGGTAGCAATAGTAAAAAAATTAAAAAAAAAATGTTGCATTGGGAACGTCTGTTGCCAAGGACCTCTCCAACGTGTTAAAGAGCAGTGATGTCAGTTAAAAAGTGAGGCGTACATCTTTCGAGCCATGGTCTTTTTTAGTTGTTTCCTGAGCATCTGAAAGTTGATCCGTGAATATAAGGAAGACCAAAGAAGAATCAATGCCTTTGAATTGTTGGCAAAGAGTACAGAATAAACTGGTCTACAAAAGAATGAAGAAATCAGGGTTGTGTCCTTTCTCCTCGGAAAAACACATAGTACTGGGAAAAGCAGAGGGTTAGAGGGAGAGGAAGCCTCTTAACGAGGGAATGACACACTGACTAACAGTGGCTCAAGCGTGGCGGATACTGTGTGTGGTGAGGATGGCACTGGATAGGACAAAGTTCGGACCTGTCGTTCAGAGGGTGTGTGTCATTATTGTCCACACCTAACAACAACAAATCTCAACAACAAAAAATGTTTGTTGAATTTCATTAGCTTTTAAATGGAAATTGTTGCATTAAACCGAGAACAGTTTGTGTAATAATTTCCTTCAACATTTACCTTTTTGAGCAAGATAAGGTTTTAAAGCATATTAGCAGAGATATTTTTGAAGTGGATCAGGTACTTGCACTTGCATGTTAGAATTTGGTTCACGAAGTTGAAAGTGCCGTTGTTATTTACCTTTGAGTCTGAACCAACCCATAGCTGACCCTCCAGCAAGGATTTCAGAGGCAGTAAATTGCATGGCAGGAGCAATGATGTCAGTTTGAAGATTAAGGTGTATCTGATTCAGGCCATGGTCTTTTCAGTCACTTGCTATACATCTGAGAGCTGGACAGTGAATAAGGATGAGAGAAGAATTGATGCCTTTGAGCTGTGATGTTGGAGAAGAGTACTGAACATCCCAAAAGAACAAAGAGCAGCCAGAGTGCCCCTTGGAGGCAAAGATGGTGAAGTTTTGTCTCACACACTTTTGGCATGTTGTCAGAAGGAGCTGGTCCTCGCAAAGGGACATCATGGTTTAATAGGTGGAGGGTCAGCAAAGGAGAAAATCCACAACAAGATGGATTGACACAGTGACTGCCGCAGCGATCACAAGTATGTCAGAGATGATGAGGATGGCACAGGATAGATAGGACAGGGCCAGAGGTAGGGTCGCTATGAGTCATACTTGGCTTGATAGCACCTAAAAACAACAACAGCAACATAGAATGCGAAATTCTTTAATGATTACCAGGCATGCGAGAGGAGAGTCACCTTCTAGATAGTCTTGTTCTCACTGTTGTCACATCAGAACCAGCAGGTTTCGGGGAAGCTGTAAATCTCGCAGGAGGAGATTACTGGTCTTTCTCCCCGGAGCCACTGGTGGATTCAAACTACCAGGGAGGCGCCACCTTTGGGTTATCAGGGTGACCCCGAGGGACCACACACTAGAGCCGCTTTTCCAGGCAGCAGGCACGTGTTGACGCCCGGTGATGACAAAGGCAGTCCCAGATGTGGATGGAGTCAGCAAAACTTGGCCAAGGTAAATAAAGACACTTAAGTACATGACAGAAAGGGACAAGATCAGTAACTAACATAATACAGTTTTTCAAAAACAAAAAAATACATGTGTGGCTACCTAGGTAGATAAAGGCACCTATGTGATAGCATACATAGGTCATTTCATGTGCACATGTGGGGTCGGTATATGTGTTATTGGGGGCTGTCACGCTGGCTCCAACTCCTCGTGACCTCGTGAAGGACAGAGTGAAATGCAGTCCAGTCCTGTACCATCCGTCCTCAATCATCACTGACTTAGGGTCAATCATTACAGCCACTCTGTCATCCATCAGCCTGGAGGTCTGCCTCTTTTTTCACAGCCTCACTACGTTTCCAAGCATGATGTCCTTCTCCAGGGACTCATCGGTCCTAATAGCACGTAACTGTTATTGTCACATACCATCAAGCCACAACAACTGAGAGCTCACCTTCCAGTGGGCTTTTAGAGACTAAATTGCAAAGGAAGAGACTGCCTGCACCTTTCTCCTTACAGGCTAACTGGTGAATTCAAACTGCCTGCCTTTGGGTTGTCAGCGAAACTCTTTATCCACTAGGCCACCAGAGCTCCCAGTCATGTAACTAAAGTTGTATGTGTACAGATATTTCTGTATGGATTAACAAAGTGGCAGAAGTGGACTCAAGCACAACCATTGTGAGCATGGTGCAGGGCCAGGTCGTGTTTCATTCTGTTAATGTAGGGTTGCTAAGAAGAAGAACCAAATTGAAGATACTGAATCCTGGGATTTACTTTATCACATGTTAACTCTTATCTACTGTAATTCCATTTACTTCCACAAACATTGCTGAGAGTTGTGGCAGAGGGGTGTAGAAAGGAAATAAAGGATGCAGCCCTGTATCCTAGGTGTTTTATCATCTAGCTGAACATATGAAAACAACTACTGAAAAAGAACAGGGTCACCTAGAATCAGTGGGTTGTGTGGGGAATAAGAAAGAGTATTTGTTAGGATATATTGGAGAGAATTTGGACCCTGATATTGAAGTCAGATGGTCTTACATTCAGAAACTACTTTGAACAAAAATTAGTGGATACTTGGATGTGCATAAAAACACTGGGAGACTTGGTAGGATTTAAGACTAGACTGCATTTAAGGAGATTGAAATAAAATCATTCCAAAGCATGAATCATCACAGAATTTTGAAGTAGAAAGGTCATATCCTCTATGACAAAAATGCAAGAGGTTGAGGCAGAGATTTTGGAAGCATCTATTGAAAGAGGTGATGACATTATTCCGATCATGATGTTGTTCTGTGCCATCAAGTCAGAACTCACCCATAGCTGACTCTCCAGCGGGTTTTCAGAGGCACTAAGTCTCATGGGAGGAGATTGCCTGTCTTTCACCCGCAGAGCAGCTGGTGGATTTGAACCATGTGCCTTTGCATTAGCAGCTCAGTGCCTTACGACTAAGCCATCAGATGTACTACATACATACCAAGTTGCATTGCTGAGCTGAAGGCCTCAGGTCTCCAGCGGTTGGACTCCACCAGCCCCTCTGCAGGAGGAAGATAGGTGCTCTCCTTTCAATTTGATTTACAGCCTTGGGAACCTGATGGAGGCTCCAGCTATGAGTTGGAGGCAACCTTGATTGCAGTGAGGTTTCTATTGAAAAGTTTGGGCAAGAAATAGTAAAGACTGATAGTTAGCACTGTGCAGTGGCTGTCCTGTGGGATTAGAAAAGAACGAAGCCCTGATGGACTGGCACGACTGAGCTGAACTTGATTAGGCCTTGGAGGACAAGTCAAAACGCTCGACCTCTGCTGAGAACTTGAGTTTTAACTTCAGTTTATACCACAGTATGTCTCAGTATTTGTGTGGTGAAACAAGCAACAGTTATTTAACTTTCTTTTCAACCAAAGTGAAAGTTGATAAGCAAAAGGAAATCCTTAATTTGTATAAAACAGACTAAACATTTGTTCTCTGTCCTCCAACTTAAGGGTTGGTTTGAGGAATTAATTAAGCCCTGTAGTTATATGAGAGGGTAAAACATGTACTAGAAATGAGGACAAGAGAAGGACAAATTGCAGAAAATGAGGACATTGAAGTCTTTATAAGAATTTGCAGATAAAGGTTAAAAAGAGTGATTATATTAGCAGATAATGCAATAGAAGGTAAAAGATTCTTTTGTAGAGAATTAAGAGGGTAGTAGACTAAATTCCTCAGCTCACAAATTGAGAAATGAAGAGAAACAACCAAGGGAAAAGGAGGAGAGAGAAGAGAGATTAGCCTGATCAGATGGAACATGCTGTTAAAATGGCTTAACTAAGCTGTGACCAAGTGTATGTTAGTCTCCCCAGGAAAGATAGATAATGAATTTTCCCTACAATGACTTCATGCCAATAATTCTGTGGAGTTTTAGATCTGAATTGAGCTAAATTAATTACTCAGCCTGACAATATGCTTTGCCTTTTGATTCTGATCTGAAAAATATTGTTTACTACTTAAGGGAGGTGGGAGGAACTTTCATAATAATCATCTTCACTAAAGCAAATTCCATTGGATAATTTAGAGTGTAGATGATTTTGTAAAATCCAAATATGTAAATGAAGAGGAATGAGTTTGTTGCTGCTATCAGAAGTGAAAGAAAAAATTTCTAAGTCACTGAACTCAATATTTTAACCTTTCTTAGAAGTCAAGAGATTTTATATTTTGGGTCTTTAATAAGGACTTAAACTAATCTTTTAAAAGATGGCTAATGAGGAAGCTAGGCAAGTGCATAATCCATTTTAACACAGCTAATCATCTTTCTATTATGCAGTTGGCTGGGGAACAGACCAGGGAATTGGCGGGTTCGGAGAGGAACCAGGAATTAAATCGCAGCTAATGAACCTCATTCGATCTGTAAGAACCGTGATGCGAGGTAAGTAAGAAGGAACACTCTTAAACTTTAATTTTGTAGTTTGATTTGAGAAGCAAAGATTCAGTGTGTGAATGATACCACATACCCTTTTTGTAGTAGGAATGTATATAGATATCTATTAGATGAAAGTGTATAAAGCAAAACATAAACCAGTTCAGTCTCTACTGATACAGTTCAGTTACACTCATTACAGTCTTCATATCGGGCAAGTCTTCTCACTGTCCTTTTCCAAATTGTTCCACTACCATCACGATTAACTCACTGCTCCCCAACTGGCTCATTTTTTTGAGTTTTTGTTATTAACATGATTCTATGTAGATCTTTCTTTTTAAAAAGTACAGGGCAAAGCAGCTGTCATTTCATTTATTAAACAGAATTATTGTCTGGTCCCTAGTTTTAGTGTGAAGTTTAAGATTTAAAAGGTTTTTTTCAGTCCACTTGTTTTCAAAGGTCATCCATTCTCAGTGAGATCTATGGGAAATTGTCATTCTGAGTGTGGATGGATATATTTTTTTAATCTGAATTTTTCTATAGAATTGTTGATCAAACTATCCTGTAATGGTAGCTCGATACCATCCAGGTTTTCTGGTCCCACTTGTTCGGGGATTCAAATCCTGGTTCCTCCTTTTATCCTGCCTCTTCCCCTACTGTCCCAGGCAAATAGAGACCAGTTGATGTGCCTTAAAGAGCCAGTTACAAGCTCTTAAAACTCCCAGGCAGAGTGGGGGATTTTTTTTTTCTCTCTTTAATCTTGCTTTATTGCTTAAAGTTACTGACTTCTTCCTCATTTCACTCTTCTTTATGTCCAATTTAGTTGGTAAAAATAGACTCCTCAGTGTTATAATTGGCTTATTCCTTCCTAGCGTTAAAAGAAGAGTATTTGCCTTTGGAAGCTTTACAAACTGTAATGTCATCTAGTGCCACAGAAGGTTCTCAAGAGGAGAAGTTCCAAATCTGCCATCCTGGCAGAAGACTTTTTAGAGTACCTCAAGGAAAAGTTTAAAATCCTTTTCTTTAAAGCCATTACATAAGGGCTTTCATTTATTTACTTCCTAGCTATTCTAGTCACAATTTCAGATAGAATATTAAGCTGATTTTTACTACAGCACGTTCTTTTTGCGTGTGTCCACTTCTGTGCGCCCTGCTCTCATGTTCTTACAGGTAAAGTGGAAGTTTCTCTTCCTTATTAGTCTTAACGTGCCAATGGGAGAGCTGCCTCTTTAAACTAGATTTTGCTTGTTACACCCCAGTGCCTGTTTGCGTATCCCTCTGTCACAGATTACACATTTATGATGATATGTTTCCTGCTAGATGCTAATAACTATTATCTTGTCTTTTCCTGATATTTTGTTTATATTAACAAGCTTGCTTTTTTTTTTCTTTTTTTGCAGTGCCATTGATAATAGTAAATTCAGTTGTAATTGTATTACTTTTATTATTTGGTTGAAGCCCAGCCAAGGAAATGGAAATTCTGAAGAAGAAGGTGCCAGGAGAAGTTACTGCTTCGAGATTATTGAAAAATAGATAGCTGGTCAACCTCACACTTGACAAAAATGTAAAGCTGACAATAAAACAAGAGTTCTTATTTATCTGATTTTTTTAATGTTGCACTTATAGTTTCATTATAAAAAGATCAGATTAATACAACAAAGACAGTAACTATCCAGGATTGAAATCCATGTTATGGCTGATTGTTAATAAGAACCCATGCTGTGGTAAAGATTGTTAAAGGGTACAGGACTGTCTCATCTATGTTAATAGAGCCTTTTCTATTTCTCACTACTCAGGGATGATTTTTTTTCCAAAATTTGTAAAGTTACTTATAATTTAGTTATGATATGAGGGTGATTATTCTCCCAGATACAATTTAAAGGCATTTTCAAAAGTAACTACTGCCTATAAAATGTCAAATAGATAATTTTATTTTAAACTTCTTTGTTAAATATTTTGACCGTAGCCCCAACTGAAAAAAAAATCCAAGTTTTAGTATCTAATGAGGAGAAATTCCTTGCTTTGGGGAGAGAGTTCTAGATTTGTAAGTCATTGAGTCACATGTTGATCTGTTGGTTGTGTTTTGTTTTACATTGTTTTCGTGAATTTACTTTATGAATTTGCCTGAATGATGAGATTAGACCAGCACCTACAAATTTTCACCAGTAGAAAAACCTGTGTAGAAGAGTCTGTGCCCTTTCACGATGATGACTTTTGTTTTCAAAGTCAGCATTAAATGTTAGCTTTTATGACCATCTCAAAATACTAAAAATTACACTATGTAAGAAAATATTTATTTAAAGTCATTGTCCTCCACCATTATCCCATGTTACCATGTTTTGATGGATATGTAGGTGTCTGATTCTTAATTCTTTATTCATTAGAACATTTATTATGCTAGATAAGTTTTTGTTTTTATGTCTTAAATCATCTTGTGAGATTATTTGCTCATTCCATAATACCATTTTATGGGAAAAGGTAAAATTATGTAAATGTTTCTTGTGAAATCATCAGTAACAGTATTTTAAAGGGCTGGAATGACATCTTTGTTTAGAGGAGATAATTCTTAAATAAAGGTGAATTTCTAAGTCAAGTATTTGTTTTTATACCTAACAGTGTTTCAATTACTCTCTGTTTTGTAATACCTCTTATATATGTTTTTTTTTTTGCTGTAAAATCTCTGAGCACAGATTTAATGAAAGGAAAAATTTACGGTCTGGGGTTTTTTTTTGTTGTTTTGTTGGTTTTTTTAATGAATTCACTAAATTGCATCAAAGTTTGTGAGCAACTTTTCATTTCATGACTAAAGTTACCTTTTATGCTTTGGAGCAAGTTCTAAATGTCTGTTCGCCAAACTTGAGTCAGAGACTGATGATTCTGGGTCATCCACTTCCAGATCAACCAAGGAAATGTCCCAGGGATTCTTACTTAATGACCTGGCTTTTGTTAGTAGCTAACATATTCGCACCTACAGGCTGTGTTCCCTTGGCCTTACAAAATGCATGAGTTTTAAGTCACTAAATGGATTTAAAAAGTGTACTGATAGCATTCATTCTTCTGTATAGGATGAATGTAAAAAAAATTATCTGATAAAATTTTCATCTTGAGACTGACAGCATTTTTAACGTAGTGTTGGGTTAGTGCCACACTCCAGTGGGATGCAGTCAGAAGTTTCTGAGGCATAGTGGTTTTGAGAGTGAGACACTGATCATTAAGATGTTTCTTCTCTGCCTGCCACTCACACAATTCCAGTTTTAAAGGACTGACGGGGGAGCTTGAAGCATTCTTACTTTCATCTTGGTTTCCTGGGGTGATTCTAATCAGTAGCTCATTTTTGTAGACACAATTTAAATGCCTGTCTGCCCATCCAGTTCTCCCCTTATCAGTTCTGAGGATTAAGAATCTGTGTTCAGTCCCCTCTTCAGATATCCATATGGTGATATTTTTTAATCCATATATATTCTGACTGTGTATCTGTGTGCTTGGCTCAAAGGTTATGGATACTAATCAAATTCTTAACCCTTATCCTTAAGTACAGTGGTTCTCAAACTTTGTTAGCAGAACCAGATAGCGAAGGGTATTCCAGTGTCTAAAACAGATGGGAGCAACTCCATTTATTTCTTTTTATTTGCATCTGTGGTGATAACCAGAGGCCTGCCACTGCATTTTGTCAAGCATCCCAATATGCTTCCACAAAATCAAATGGTTTGAAAGAATTTTTTAACCCTTGCTTTAAATGAGTAGATAATATAACCTTGTGTTTTCTAGATATGTACAATTACTTGAATGTTTGTGTAGTCCTGAAGTGATAAGAATATATGTGAATAGTAAATTGAAGAGGCAGAATATTGCTCATATGCAAAGCAAACCTTTTACTTTGTGACTTAGAGCAAATAGACTTCCCTGGAATGTAGTTCTTTTTGGTCACCTCATCTGTAAAATTTGTCAGTATCTGAGAGGAGCGATTCATTCTGGAAGATATATTTCCAAATCCTTAAACTTCAATCTAAGATGTTTCCCAGAAGAGAAAATGTTTTTGGGAAAAGTAAATCACTTTGTTATTGACTTAACAGTTATAAAGTTAACATCAGTAGTAAAATTACGATACCAAGCAAAATAGAATTCTTTTTTGCTAGAATAGTTCTTCACCCTTGATTTGCCTTTCGACCTCAAATATGGTGACAATTCTCTGCAGGGACCTGGAAAGGGTAGGAGGCCATATCCATGGTTATCAATGGTCAGGATAAAGTTTTGGAGTCCTACTATTTTTTCAGTTAGGGAAGCCTGTTGGATTTTTACCTAGGCTTTTTTTCCTTTTCCTAAATGCACTCCCTCTGTTGTTAGGTTCCCATCCTTTTCTTTCCTAATGTCGCTCTTTGAGAAGCAAAGCAGTGTGAATCTAGGTCAGCAGAAATAAATGGTGTCATTCTACACTATCGTCAGATACACCAGTTCCACCAACTAGATGCCCAACTCTGGAACCTCCTCATTCATCACCTTAATTCTTTCCTCCTTTACTTGTAGATTAATAGACCCCTAATTACGGACCAGGAAAACTTTAGGAGGAAGTAGTCCTCTTTGCTCCATTTTCACACAATGCTTATTTAATCATCACAAACAGCCTTTAATCTGGTCTCCTCACATTTCCTTTGGCACCTTTTGAGTTCATTTATTTGCATTGCAGCCAGAGTAACTATTTTGAAACACACAGATTTTATGCTACCTGCTTATTTAAACTCTTTCAGTGATGTGTTTCATTGTGGTAAGACAGCTCCTAGTTATGCAGGAGAAACGAAGCAGGTTGGGTTTTTTTTTTATTGTTGTTCTATTAAGCAGAATCTAATACAGAAAACTTTTACTCAACAAATTGTTATGTGCCCTTGAGTTGGAACCCATGAATTTGTAACTGACCTTCCTGCAGATTTTCAGAAGTTATAAATCACACAGGAGGTAACTGCCCATCTTCCTTGGAGCTGCTGATGGATTCAAATTGCCAGACAGGCATCATCTTTGGGTTAGTAGCCCAGCTCCCTAAAGACTGTGCCAGTTGTTATTAAGTGCCTTCAAGTAAGTAAGACTCAGTGACATTATAAACAACAGTCTAAACCCTGTCCTATCCTGTGCCATCCTTACCATTCCTGGTGTATTTGAGCCTATTGCTGCAGACAGTGTATTAATCCATCTCCTTGAAGGTCTTCCTCTTCTCTGCTGACCCTATTCCTTTCCGAACATGATGTCCCTTTCTGAGCATGATGTCCCTTTCCAAGGAATAGCCTCCTCTAACATCCAAAGTATGTAAGATGAATCTTCACCATCCTTATCTCCAAGGAACTCTAGTTTCTTTCTCCAAGACATATTTTTGTTTTTTTGACAATTCATGGGATAGTCCCTCATTTCTAATGCCACAACTCAAATGCATCAATTATCTTTATTCATTGTCCAGCTCTCAGATACATAGCAAATAATTGAAAAGATTGTGGTTTAAATCAAACACAGCTTACTCTTTAAACTGACATTGCTGCTCTTCAGGGTTTTGGAAAGGTCCCTGACAGCCAACTTTCCCCCAATGCTATATGTCTCCTGATTTCCTGATTGCTGGTACAAAGGATGTGGTAAGGTGAAATTGTTGATGGTTTCAATCTTTTTTTCCATCTATCATGATGTTACCTATTGGCTCAGTGGTGAGGAATTTTGTTTTCTTGATGTAGAGATGTAATCCATATTGAAGGCCGCAGTCCAGGGCTCCTCTTTTTTTTTGTTAAGGGTATATAAATGTGTGGCCCTCTTTGCATTCAAGTAGTTTATTTAGCTTAAAGGGAGACATGCTGAGGGTTTAAGGGTTAGAGGAGGGCTTAAGGCTCACACTCTGAGTAAGGCTCATACATTGAGGTGGAGGTGGAGAGACTCAGAGCAGAACCAGAATACAGCTTCCCTAAGGATCCTTAGAGAAGAATATTGACAAGTATAATGAGAAAAAGGCTTGATAATGCAGTAAACAAGGACCAGTGTTAGCCGAAGTTGTTATGTGCCGTTGAGTCACTTGCGACTCATAGTGACCCTAGTACAACAACCCTAAACCCTGCTTTATCCTGTGCCAACCTCATTGTCCCTGACATACCTCCTCCCATTAGCCCAGTCACTGGATCAATCCATCTCATTGAGGGTCTTCCTCTCTTGCGCTGTCCCTGCATGATAACACTCTCCAAAGACAGTCCCTCCTTGCAACATGCTCAAAGTATGTCAGACGAAGCTTCAGAATCCTTGTTAGGCCTTAAATGCTAGGTACTTGCAAAAAAAAGGAAGACCTTCAACCAGATGGATTGACAAAGTAACTCTTGGTTCAATGGGCTCCAGTATATGAGATGATAAGGCTGGCACAGGACAGTGCAGGTTCAGATCTGTCAATCATAGAGTCGCTATGAGTTGTAAAGGGCTCAACAATATCCAATCATCAAT